GATGTTTTTATAAATTTCTTTTAAATCTTAAAATAGTTGATGTTTATTTATTGTGCATTTACTTTATAAACATCTGACTTTAGTGAAGCTCGTAATCATTACAGTGATATATTATTATTTTCTTATTTAAATATATTAACTGACTAAATATTTTTGATTGCAGCTTGTGTAATTGTTAGTTTAGGACATTTTTGAAACCAAGGCTCACTGTAAATTCCACAATTAAATGCTGAAGAAAGAAACGCTAACATAGAAATATTGGAACAACACAATCACACTCAGCACGCATTGAAGACATCTGAGGATTTTCAAGTCAACATTTATCTTTTAAATCTCCTATGTTTTTTGATTTACTCCTTTTATAAAGGATGACTGCTGTTTAAAAGGAACACAGTTGTTCTAGTTTATGCTAAATTGAGTAAATATCAAACAGTTGTTATAACACTCGTGCATACCTATGTGGAAAGTATCAATGGTCTATGATGTGCTAAGAATTTTGTACTTGTATTAATTCGTAAAACAACATTAACTATATTGTTCATTTGTATATTGTGTACACAAGCTTTGTGAGAAAGAGTTAGGTGAGCCATAAAGTGACCGTGATTGTGATTGCGGCTGAGATTGTGCTGCTCTTGACTAATAAAACACTTGTATCTGTATTTAAAGAGTGCCAATTTTGCACAGAGTTGCCTGGGTACTCTCTTATAAATAATTTATGACAAACGTCAAAATACTTTCAAAACCTTCCTTCCACTTCTTGGTCACAACAGAGCCTGCATTTCTGCAGCATTTTAAAGAGCCTCTCTTCCTCTGTATTAAGTTCTTGTAACATTATAATAGTGAATGAAGATATAAGGTACCAAGAACCGTTCTGTGATATCTATGTTAACAGTTAAATAATTGAAAAGACTAAAAATTTCTAAATATAAGTATATATATATATATTGTGGTGAAACAGAAGTGAACATAAAAGAAATTAAGTAATTATTTCAAGAAAAGGGAAAAACTTATACGTAAAAATTACATTTAAAATTGTGCAAATTCGAAACAATGTCCAACAATCCTCAGTGGAAAACGTTCCAGCCGCCAATCATGAACTCTGACCCTGCAATAATTGATTACAAGTCTATGACTATACCAAGTCCCAAAGTTATAACGGGATCACATCCACCAGCAACTAATATTTATCGAAATGGTACCAACTACAGTGGTGATCATTATATGATGGATTCACCTCCTGGAAATGGGAAAAATACTATACCCTATACTGGTTATACCAATGCTAAGATGTCACGCAATGGAGTTACCAGATTTCCTTTCGGAACATTTACAGGAATGGAAGGAAGCACTGGTTATACAGAAGAGCCAGCAACAAATAACTCCACTTATCAGGATCAATCTGAGAATCAAGGAACTCGAGAAACTGGAATAATTGAAAAATTATTAGTAAGAAACCTATTGCAATTTTTATATTCACTTTATTACATGATAACTGTAATGCTTCTATTTTCTCCTAGCATTCATATGGGTTTATACAGTGCTGTGAAAGACAAGCAAGGTTATTCTTTCATTTTAGCCAATTTAGTGGTAATATAGAACACTTAAAAATTGGAGATCCCGTTGAATTTGAAATGACTTATGATCGACGGACAGGAAAACCTATTGCTAGTACAGTTAGCAAGATTGCTCCAGAAGTGGTTAGTATATCATTAATCTATTTAAATAAAATTTCAAAATTATTTAAAAGATCAAATGTAAATGTATAAACATTAGGAAAACATAAAAAATCTTATAATGTAGGTGCTAAGTGAAGAAAGAGTTACTGGAAATGTAACAACCGAATTACATACGAGTGGTGATACACAAGGGCGTATCAGTTATGAAAATCGCGGGGAGTGTTTTTTTTTGCCATATACAAAAGATGATGTTGAAGGAAATGTTAGTTTGCGCGCTGGCGACAGAGTGTCATTTCAAATTGCTACCAATCAACGGTGAGTAATTTATTTATAATAGAAGTTGAAATATATTAATATACTAGAGTTAATACAGTAATGAAATTCAATTATAGTGGAAATTTGGGTGCGTGCCACGTAAGATTGGAAAATCCAGCACATCCAGTTCGCTATCGTGGAGTTGTATGTTCGATGAAAGAAAATTTCGGATTCATTGAACGTGCAGACGTAGTTAAAGAGATTTTCTTCCACTTTAGCGAAGCTAAATCAATGAAGGAAGAACTTAGATTAGGAGATGATGTTGAGTTTATAATACAAAGTCGAAATGTAAATATTTTTATTTATTTTATATGAACAATTGTCATTTTATATTTATTTCCTATATAAATTTAATCATTGTTAATATTTTAAGGGGAAAGAGGTAGCTTGTAATATCACAAAGCTACCACCTGGTTCAATAGTTTTTGAAGAAGTCAGCAGTGAAATAGTAAAGGGACAAGTATTAAAACCTCTGGAAAGAGGTACTGCAGCTCGTCATCAAAATGATCCTTTACCTGGAAGAATTCGATACAGAGATACAGATCATTCTGATGTTGAAATTCCTTTTGGGGATAAAGATCAAAAAGGAGATTTTACTCTCAGGTATATTCATAAATTATATTTGTTAATTTTAACGTTTTATTAAAATAATCAAAACCATATGTTCTATAGACATGGGGACTGGGTCCAATTTCGTATTGCTACAGATACTAGAGATCAACTCAAGAGAGCTACTGAAATATTGTTATTACCAGAATCTTTTACTGTATCTGGTGAAAGACGAGAACAGGGCATCATAGCTGCACTTAAAGATGGATTTGGTTTTATTCGTTGCGTAGATCGAGATCCACGACTTTTCTTTCATTTTAACGAAGTTTTGGATGTTGATAGAGAAATTAGTGTAGGAGATGAAGTTGAATTCACAGTAATTCAAGTAAGAATAATACTTCGTAAAACGATTTGAACTTTTTAAGCACATTTTAATTAAATATTTGTATACCAGGATCCTTCCTCGTCATTTTCGAATAATCGTCAAAGTGCAATTAGGTTGAAACATTTACCAGCCGGTACAGTTCAATTTGAAACAATTATAGAAAAAGATTTATTGGGCACTATAATTCTGGGTATAAATGCCTCTGTGCCTGGTCTCATTGGATACACGAAAGAAAATCAACAAAAAGATGTTATTTTCTTTATTAAAGATTGTGATCCCAAGAATATTCCAAGACTTGGTGACAAGGTATGTTGACATTTATTTATATTGTTGTTAATATTATTAAAACGTTTTTCTAAAGTATATATTTTAGGTTCAATTTAGTATCTGTCAAGTAAAACGAAATAAAGAACTTGTTGCTGTTGACATATCTGTAGTGAGTTCTTCTGGCGAAAAACCGCAGAATGGCAACAAAAAATTGAGTGGTCAAGTTTGTCAAGGCTTCATTGCTGCACTTAAAGATGGATTTGGTTTTATTGAAACTGTAAATCATGATAAAGAAATATTTTTTCACTTCAGGTAAGAAGTAAAAATATTTTCGTAAATATCATTTTGTTCTTCAAACCTTTATATATTCTTACAACAATATTTCTATTTTTTAGCAATTTTGAAGGAGATGTTAATGCTTTGGAAGTAGGAGCTGATATTGAATGTACAATCAGTTCTGGAAATGGTAGAGGTAATGGTGGTTGCGTAGCCGCGGATTACGTTAATTTGGTACCTCGTGGAAGCATTCCTAGGCCAACACCAGTTAGCGAAGTGCTTGATGGAACGGTCATTAGACCTTTACGAAGTGCAAATCCTGACCAGGCAGAGTATGCTGGTTTAATAAAGATAAATGCTACTAATGAAGAGGAAGAGACTCCAGAATATGAATTCAGAATTATGGGTCTCGTCAACAAACGCGAGCTGTTGCAAGCCGGTGATCCTGTACAATTACAGGTGGATTCAGCAGGTCACGCTTGTAATATTGTAGCAGTAAGGAAAAAGAGGAAGGCAACTGTTGATGCAGTAAAAGGTCCTTTTGGTTTTCTTACTTATGAAGTTGATGAGGGTAAGAAATTATTCTTCCACATGAGTGAAGTGCGAGATCATGCGATACTTCAACCAGGAGATCAGGTTGAATTCGTTTTGATTACGAATCAGCGTACTGGTAAATCATCTGCATGCAATGTGACACGATTAAGGTAATTTATTAATATTATTATGTCATGTTTTTATACTATTAATACTCTAATTGCTTGACATATTTTGTTATTTTTTTATTGTGTAGCGACGCGGTTCAACAACGACCTGAACGTTTGATCAGTCGATTACGTACTACATCTTTGGAAGACACAGGTCCTAAATTAACAATAGTTAGACAACCAAGAGGACCAGACGGCACGCGTGGATTTAGTCAGGAAAGATCCCAGCATACCCCTGGTGCCATCCAAGAGTAATGTCGTATTGAAAGGATTATTGCTTATCCAAATTGTAATCTACATTACTTGTTTTTAGTCCATACACTTCGGTACCGAGATTATTATTATTATAAGCATCGTAAACATTTGCCAAATTGAGACTAATGTGACAACAATAATAACATTGATAATAATCGATTGGATCATGATCTTGTTGAGAAAAGAATATAAAATGAAAAAAACAACGAGTCATTTTATCATCTTATAAAGTATGAAAATAATCAGGAAGGCAGTTTGTCTGAACTATTTCAATTTTTTTTTAAATCCCAAAATAGTTTTTTCCCTAAAAAAACATGTAATAGGCTTTTATAATTGTGAACAATGGTTATGAAATATTATTAAAACTTTTAATTACTACATTTTCTTTTCAATAAAAATTTTTAAAATATTTCCTACATGTGTCCCGTCTGTCTTTATAAAAATATACGTACATGTTGATAAAATCTTTATTTATATTATTTTCTTTAGAATATTTGTTTTACCTGTAATGTATATTGTGATCAATTGAAATGTATAATAGTCAAAAACAAAATCGTATGCAATACAGCATATATAAAAATATTGATTGGCCATATAATCAAAAAAAGAAAAAAATGCATTCGTATCACTTGCTGAAACTTGTGAATTTACGTAATTTTATAGTCGAAGAAGCAGACATGTGTTTTACTATATAAATTATTGTAACGTGTTACTCTATTGAAGAGAAAATGTCTATGAGTTTGTAAAAAAGTTACAACTGGCCAATTGTTTGTCCTAGATAATATATAACATATAAATATATATATAAATATATATATATACATGTCGTTAAGTTCCTGATGCAGTCTCGTGTTGTAAAATCAAACTAGTATTATGAATTCAGTCGATATATAATACGAAAAAAATTACAAAAGGTACTTATGTGAAGAGTAAAGGAATCGCATTTTATAAGTTTTGCTATCAGAAACAGCAAACGAGGTACACGTGGCATTATGTAGAAAATAGGTGGAAGGAGTAAAATAACAACGTGCATTAACATAAGCACGATACAAACTAAGCGTTTGTCCGAAAACTCATGGATCCAACACATCATGTGCATACATATTGTAAAATTATTGATGAATAAACAGTGAAAATATCAAACGTATATCTTTCCCATGAATCTCAAAGATTTATGTAACGCGCATTGAGATTCCTATAAATTATGATTTTTTTTAAATAAATATTATTTTTAGTAATTTTGCGTGACAAACTTTTATCATATGTTTACATCGATAATTATAAAATAATTTTAGTAACAAGAGGATTATCATATATACAATATATTTATTATGTATGTACAAAGATGTGTAAATTTTCGCAAAATATGTTTATTTTTTGTACTTAACATACTAGATGTATTTGATTTTTAATAGATGAAAAGAAGATAAATTGCGAATTAGATCACAACACACTCGTAAGGAAACGGCCCCCGAAAACGTTGATTGTTTGGTCCAGGACAAGCTGCAAAACATATCAACATTTTATAAACGAATATTTTTTAACATTCTTTATTTATTATACTTTCATTAAATTATATCTCGATATTTGACTTCAAGTTTCAATAATATATCAGTGGTGCCCTTGAACAATTTCGAATACTATAGTGATTACCAATTTGAATAGTTACGAATTATTTGGTAAAATACACGACTGCGAAATCATAAATATAATAATTATTTATCAGTGACAATGATTACTAACGTTTATCACAATGTAGTCCGTAATAACCAGTTCCTTCGCAACGACATTTAAATCCAGGGTCTGATGATATTTGCAAGCACGATCCTCCATTTAAACAAGGTTTTGATTTAGAACATATATCACTACGCTTACCTGAAAAAATAATTATATAATAACTAATTATAGTTACATAATGATATTTAACGTTGCGAATGAAATTAACAGGTAAGTCCTTACCTCTTAATGCTTCTTTACAATCCTCGGCACTGTTATATCTGTATTCAGAAACACAGCCGTGACCGCATCTGCACTGTGCGTTATGGATACGACATCCATATTGCATTTGATCCAAATCACAAGCTTTTGATAACGTACCTATTTTCAAAATTAAGTTAAAATATTTTAATAGGTATAATGATATTTATTTATTCATTGAAACATTTCATTAAACAAAATTTATTTTTATGTTCTTGATATTATTTTCATAAATATTATGAAATATATTAACAGATTATCTAACTTCTAAGAAAATTTCAAAATTGTTATATCTTTTTACTAAAAAAAAAAGAATACGTAAATATATCATTTAATGTATAACTTAATTTAATTCTAGAAATGATGATAAGTGAGACATAAGACGTTTATCATCCGATTGAATGACAACACGGACGAGGTATAAGATATACCCTACATATCACTAGTCTGTGGTTCAACTTTCATAGAATTGAATGAATTAAATAATCAGTAAAATAAATGGAAAATTCTTGAATGATTAATAATACTCAATATATAATATATATAATATTCAAAATATTTGAATGATTCATAGTATTTACAAATTTTATGCGACGTATTTCAGTGAACGTTCTCTGTATGCAGTGAACGTATCTGCAGTTTATTTACCCTGAAAAGATAATGCTACGAAGAAACATGCTGTCAGAAGCAACTATTTGTACCGGATGTGTCCAATGCATTTTCCACTTGTTTAAATTGATAAACATTTAATGAGATAAAGCATACTTGCGTGGGTTAATTCATTT